GGTGTTAATCAAAGGGGTAGGCCAAACTGAAACCGCCGCTGTCCCACGTGCGTTATTGGCTTTTCCTAAATTACTGTAAAACTGCCGGCTTTTTTCTTGTTTGCTTATGGCACGTACAGTTAACTTCTTGTGCAGAAACCCCCCCGGTAACGTGTGGCGTTTTTCTTAAATGACCGAGGAGAGTGTTTCTCTTTTAACGACAGAACCGAGTGTTACTTTTCTCACTGGATAAAATACAGAATTTTATTAACACATAAAATAACATGTGAACATGCAACATAACTATTCGTGACCTAGAACCGTTATTAGAGAGAGACAGTAAACCTATCAGTGCCAGAAAAAATGCCGCAGGGCTCATGAAGTGTTTTTCTTCTGTATCTCATAAGAAGGATGATGTACTGCTGTTGTGAAAATAACATGAAGTATTTTCCAGTCCACTCATGACGGGAAAAAGTTTGTTATAGAATTTTTTCTTTCAATATACCTAACTGTCCTCTGAAAAAAAAACACCACCCCACAAAACTCTTGTTTCGTGATATAAAAATATAATGAATTTTGGAATACCAAAGCAATTCCAGAAACTCCAAGCAGCATTAATACTATGTAGCATTCAAAAATGTTAAGTGAAATAAGCCTCGTGACAAGAGATTACCAATCTACAGTCTCCGTTACCCACCTGCTATCTGACCTATCACCCTGTTCCTGAGCAAAATTGTAGAAAAGCTGGCAAAGAAAAAAGTTATTAATAAATTAAAGAACAGATAGAATGACAGTAGGAAGACAGTGAATCTCAAACAACCCCGACTACTCAGTCTATTCAGTTATTCGTGGTTTTTAAAGTATTTGGAATGACACCTTTGTAAGTCACTTGACTATATCACGGCAATACAACAGAGACAGATGCGCTGGCTAACAGTGCACCTCTGAGGGGAATAACAACTTGTTAAGCCAAAACACAGCATCAGAAGTAGACGTCAGTCAGAAATTGTGAGCAAACGATAACGCTTTTAGTGAGAACCTGCAGAATGGGTTCACTATTGTGGCTGTTAAATCTTTTAGTGATCTGCAGGTTGACTCACCCCACCCTCCTATATTAAGCTGTCTCTAGGATTCATTGCGACCTGTCTGTGAACTATTCTAATTAATAATCTGGCATAAAATTAATGTAGTTAAAAAAAAATCAGAGCAATGGATGGCTTTCTGCTGGTTTAGTGAGATGTCGTGGATCAGCAAGGGTGGGGGAAGAAGTAAAAACCTCGTGTTTTCTGGAGTGGGCAACTGCTAGATCAGCCCATCCACCTTATTTGCCTTCGTCCTGAAGATTGAGGACTCATAAAATACAGGAGGCATAACGTGGCATCTTGGTGAAAGGTTTTGGAATGGCAGCAGACAAGCTCCACAATCATAGCAATTAGAAAGGTGCGACTGCCCTGACACCACAACTTACCATTGCACAAAAGGCCACGTTCTGAAACCTTTTGTCACTCCCAACATGACATCATTGCAAAAACCTGAAAATAATAGAGAAATATAATAGAGAATGTATAAATGGAGAGATGAGGGGCTAGTGGTAATGGATTTTTTCCCCCTTGGTAGCCATTGCTACAACAAATTCAGGTATTCAAAATGTAATTCTCTAGCATGTCATTGCTATAACATGATGAAAAATGGGAAGAGAGCCTCAAAAAGTGATGAACAATTTACACCTCTTCACCCTCACCTGTTCACTTTAAAAATTTATTTGTATTCCTGTTTTGTTTAAGTTTTAGAAAAAAATCCCAGGCTTTTGCCTTCTATGTTTTCACCTAGCCTCCTTACACCAGCTAAGTTTACCAGCAGCAGGTACTCAAATTGACACAGAGACAGCGTGCGGTTCTGCTGCAATTCCAAGTCTTTTTCAGTTGGGTATCAACCTGTGACTGATGGCACCGCCATTTTTAAGCCCGCTTATCACACTGGTAACACTGTCAGTTCTGTAAACGCCATTTCAGATTCTCTGATGTAAACACACTTGTTACCATTAAGAATTAGATTAGTACATCAGAGCATAATCTAATGAGAACGTGGTGTTTTGTGTTAGTTCTCCACATCGCTGATCTTTCAAGAGCATCAGCTAGATCATTCACATGTAGCAAGGAGGCAGAAAAAGGAACAGACCCATTGTTGTAAAACAATAAAAGTAGTTTATTTTATGAAAAAAAAAAAAACCCTACATAAATGTAGCTGCTTTCTCAAGCCAAAAATAAAAAGGTTCTAAAGGCCTTTTTATTAGCACAAACCACATTACCTGATACAAAATTTAATTCCTAAAGGAAAAAAAAAAAAAACAACAAATAAATCAGGCACAGATATTCAAATACCAGTGCAATTTGTAAAACTAAAGCAGTAGTGGATTTTCTATTTCTTCATAACTTCAGTTAAAGACAGCATGGTTAAAGCTGATACCTAGAGAAAGCTGAGCAGCTGCATTTTTCTTACTAGAGAGACAACTGGGCAAAAGTAGCAGCCAACACTGTTCTGTGAAAGGTAGCCTACACAGCTCTGAAAGGTTATTTCACAAACAAAACCCCTTTTTCAGTTGAAACTTAGTTTCACCGAAGTTATTTCACACAAGCGTCACCGCGTGCCCCTCAGATGCCAAACTGCATTCATTCTCGGTAGGTTTCTGCACCAGAGAACCTTCAAGGGCCGGTGCTTTTGGAAAGCCTTGCTTGGACAACAGAGACACCCGGGCCGCTTCAGCGCCGACAGGGTGCCTGCCCAGGGAGCCAGCTGCCCGCTCCTCCGCAGCCGGCCTTAGCCGAGGGTCCCCTCCTCCGGC